GAATAAAAACATGAAAGTGACAAGATAAAAGAATCAGAGGACAGGCAGAAGTAACAAAACTAGCCTAACAGGGATAAAGCACAATTTAAAACCAGACAGATGACAATTATTAAAAAGTCAGAAAAGTTGAGGCTTTCCCAGGCCCCAGAGAAAAGCACCGAGTTCTTCAAGTGGTTCAGTGGGACCGGCAGACATGGGATTGTGCCCTACACATTTCTAGAAGTAGCTGGAAGCTAGACCATGAAGGATCTTATATTTCACATAAGGATTTCACTGTAAAAATTATTGAAGTGAGAATCCAAGTACTGGATTGGAATAAGAGTGTCAATGGAAACCCATGACTTAAAAATATACAAGGGGGAATCAAAATATACAGTGAACGTTTAATTTTTAAAAGTCATTATAAGCCAGGCGTGGTGGTACACTCCTATAATCCCAGTATGCTAGAGGCTGAGACAGGAGGACTGCCATGAATTGAGGCCAGCAAGGACTACGTAGTGAGTTCAAGGCCAGCCTGAATTTCAAAGCAACACCCTGGCTGGGGATTTAGATCAGCGGCGTAAGCAACTGCCTTGCAAGCACACAGTCGTGAGTTCGATCCACTGTACCAATAAAAAAAAAAAGACCTTGTAATCAAAGCAATACCCTGTCTCAAAATTAATTAATACACAAAGTAAAAATTTATTACAGTAAATGACACACTGACATTAATTCCCTCAAAATACTCCCCTGCACTTCACACACACTTACTCCACTCCTCTTGCCTCTTCTGAAGCACCTCCTCAAGCCCTTGTATAATGTCACGGCTGCCCTGATGTCCTGAAGCAACTCAAAACATTTACCTTTCAAGGTCATTTTGACTTGAGGGAGGAGCCGTAAGTTACAGGGTGCCAGACCTGTAAGTATGACGAATGAGGACATGCTATAATATTTTTATACCTTTTCATTGATGGTAGTAGGCAGCAGCATTCCAAGTTTTGATCATACCTTATAAGACACTCATGAAAGAGGACTTTCTAGAATTTTTACAAAAGGACTGAAAAAGGACTGCATAGTAATGTGTCTTTCACTGTACAGTGAAGTTTTTAAATTTTAATTTTGCAGGGTTTTTTTCTTTGTTTTGTTTTGTTTTTTGGTTTGTTTGTTTGTTTTTGGGATAGGGTGTTTTTCTGCAGTTCAGATTGACTTTGAACTCACTACAAAACCCAGGCTGCCCTTCAACTCATGGCACTTCTCCTGCATCAGCCTCCTGAGGTCTGAGATTATGGGCATGCACAAGAGCTGTTTTTTGTTTTTGTTTTTAATTTAAACATTTGCTGTACTTGTACATAATCCCTGGCTCTTTCCAATGAAAAGAATCTGGAAGCAATGAGTACTTTAGAGTCCGGATATTGGTTCCTGGATATTATCGCACACTAAAAAGAACCAGGGCTCCCTGAGAAAGAGGCAGTTGCGGGGTCAGGATGGCAGAAGACAAGGTGAGCCCTGAACATCTTACATAGGAAAATAAGAACTTAAGAACTGCTTGGAGCTACCCTGAAAAAAGCTCCCTCAAGGCCAATGGGCATAATCAGAAGAATGAATTATAAAATGTTGAGCTGAAAAACAAATTCATGAACCACAGTGATTCTAAAGGAAGAGAGTGGGAGTAGAAAGAAGGGAAAACTCTATTTACAGAAAAGAATACCAACTGGTAAGTGTAGAAGGAATAATATAAAAATCACTGCATTACCTTATGAGTCCATTTATCACTAATGAAGAAAATAAGCAAAATAACAGGCCCCATTCTTTAAAAATTACCAGGGTCATGAAAGACACTGCCACAAAAATGGAAACAATGCAAAAAACTAAAACATACTGGGGAACCACTCTAGATTAATGGACACTATTGAGACATGACAAATAAATCCAATGTATAACCACAGCCATAAAACACATTATTGAAACAATTAGGATAATGGAAATATGGGTTATATTCTGAACCATATAATGCATAACAGTATGCTAAATTTCCATGACAATTCATTATGGGTGATAAGACAGTGACCTTTTTCTTAAATGACGCACGCTAAAGTAATTAGGGGAGAAGAAATCCCATAATTTACAACTTAGCTTCACATGGTTCACACACCACATCTATGTGCACTTTCCTAAATTGGCCCACTTGTCCTTGTCAGGGCCTTGTCCCTGGAATTTATTGGTGGAGGTTAGGAGGAGCCTTATGTACCAGGCTGAGTTAGTGATTTACCCAGGGCAGTAACAGACTGGCCCTACAGGGCCATATATATATATATGTATGTATATGCATTGGTATTGATATATCTTTTTATACCATAGAGAAGAGTCTTCTTTAAGTGGCCACCTCTTGCCTCCTCTGCGTTTTACTGGAGCGGGGCCCAGGTTTGGAGCATATGGTTTCCCTTGTGCTCTGCCTGCTGATTCCCCTGATATCTTATTAATTGCTTCCTCTAGTAAATTTTTAACTCTTTCTAGTCAGAATTTGACTAGAAAACCTGATAAGGCCCTTATTTTATATTTTTTCCTGTCTAAAGACCCCTTTCCCCTAGGATTATAAATTTTGGGGTTCAATGTCTTGTTCTTTAGAACCTTCTTAGGTTTCATATTTTGCAAATTAACACTGAGTGAAGTAGGAAGTTCCTAAAGCATTCCAAGCAGTGGATGTCACAATCTAATCTTTATTCTAGCATGATTATTCTGAGGAATTTATTTCAGAAAGGGGAAAACTCAGAATAGGAGGCCGGAGAGCAATTTATCCTGAAACTAACGAAGCTGAAGCCCTTCCTTTTCTCCTGGTTCATTTCCAAAGCCCTGGGAGGAAAATGAACAATATTCGTTCATATGGTCATGAGATTTGCCAAATCTGTGATGGAACTGTACTCGATTGAGACCACTGTCTCTTTCCAATTTAATTAAATTTATCTCATACCAGGCAGCTCTCCAATAACCATGGTTATTTGAGGAATTCTTCTAAAAGGGGAAACTTAACTTTAGGTTTTGTAACTTCAGGTTTTAGAAGAGGTGTGCAGTCACTTCCTTGTGCAAGGAAGTGTTTTCCTAGTACAGCAGTGACTTTCAGGGACATCTCTGCAACCTACAGTACACGCTTACTTGGCAGCTGACACTAGAAGCCTGAGTTGAAATATGAACACAACACAAGCCAGCATCTCAGGCCAGAAAGACGCGAAGAGTGAAGAAACATACCAGGAGAAAAACTGATTACCGCCCTCTTCTCTCTCAGAGAATACCAATCACAAAGCGCTCAAAAACTACACAGCCCCAAAATATCATGGAGTTTGAGATTTATTTAAAACCTAAAATCTGGCAGCCTTCTCAATCAACTAGACGTCTAGGGTGGGAGAAAAAGGGGAGGCTGGCGCAATTCTAGCTCGGTCACAGGCAGAGCTTCACATTATCCCTGGAAGCAGGGAATGGGGGGGGGGGGGGGGCGGAACTGTACGGATGGAGATTCAGGTCAGGACAGAGCCTGGGCGTCACTGTGTGCTCACAGAGGAGTGAAGAGCAGCTTCATGCTCTGGGTAAAGAGCAAGAGGGAGAACCACAGGATGGACTCCTAGGCAACAACTTCATCCTGCTCAGTGCTCCATGTTGGGGTGGGGGAGAATGGGAAGAATGGGGAAAGAAAGAGTAACATGATTAAGTTAGAGGGAGAGGTCTGTCTGAAAAATTTCAAGGAGACAACTGTAACTGAAACGTATTAAATTGGTTCTATATAAATTTGTTTATATATAAAGTGTATTAAATTAAGGATATAACTGGCAACCCTGCATGAGAACTTGGTGTGAATGTGAAATTCAAAGTGAGACTATAGTAGGCTAGAAAAAGGAATAGGAAATGGACTCAGGAAGTAAGGTTAACTCTTTCAAGAACCATGATCAGAAAAAAAAAAAGCAGAAGGATGGGAAGGGGAGGCGAAAGAAGAGAAAAGACAGGGAAGTGGAGAGGATGTGGGTCAACTGCGGGTCAAGCCTGCTTTATTTGCATCTCCCAGTGCTAAACACGCACCAAGCCTTTGACCAGCAATTCTACTCTTAGGCACGACCTTAGTATCACCAAGGGGAATGAATACGCAAATTACAGCATATTCACACAAAAGAAATTAAAGCAATAAAAAGAGCAAACTCCAGATAAGCACTACATGCAGTACTACATAATTCCATAATGTATAAAGTTCAAAATAGGTAAAACTGATCTCTATTGTTAGAAGTGGGAAGAGCAGTTCCCTCTGAGGACAGGGGTAATTATCTGGGAAAGAGGCCTGAGGGAGTCTCCAGGAGCACTGCAAGGGATGTGTGCACAGCAATAGATGCACTAAGCTATACTCCAGAATTAATGAGCTTCAGGTCCTTTACTTTGCTAAACAGCAAAAAAAAAGTTAAAAGTTAATGAATAGAAATGTCACAGGCAGCTTTACTGAGGAAATGCCACCAAGCTCTGTAAAGCACTACCAAACCTTAGCAAATTCTGAGCTGGCCCTGAATAATTTAACAACTATACAGAGCAGCAACCACTGGAACCACCAAATTTCCTCAGACGCTGCTGTCAAGGGTGTTAGGTCATCACCTACCTCAAAGCCCTGTTTCCACGCCCACTTCTATATACGGACAATCCACCCTTTCAAAGGGGGAGGGAGGACCTCTGAACTGTCAAGAAGGGCTTTCTAGAGCTCCACACCAGCCTAGCATCTTTGGTTCATCAAAAGAACAGGATCACTAGCTTCTTTCAGAAGTCCACAGAAAACAATTCAGGACACAGCTGCAGCAACAGATTCACGACAGCAGTTGGTGGTCTGTTTCTTTTGCTGTCGTATTATCATATCCAATGATAAAGAGGTAACTGCTGGCATTTGAACCTGTGATTTTGGTTTTCAAACAAAACCTTTAATCATTAATAAACTTGGCTCTACCTAAACTTATTATCTTATGTGGATCCTCACGATGAAAAGACAGTTCAATGCTTACCATTTTGTCTGGTACCAATTGCAGCAATGATGACTGGGATTGAATTTAATGCTCTTTTTATCACTGGAATATAATTATCCTTTACTTCGTGGAAGGAAAGCTTGTCATTGACGTTGTACTTGATCACAATGATGTCAGCACTTCCAATCAGGTTTCGAGATGTATACCAATCGCTGTCAAAAATGTCCTAGACCAATGCAAACAGCAATCAATCATGAAATACACTACAGCATACTCGTTCACATTTTTTGCTATCTTTCAATTTTTGGTATAATTTGTTTTTCCATAGGTCACTACATAAAAATAACTACATAAAATTAATGTTTGCTGCCAACTTTTTTTTTTTAATTTGTATTCATTTAGCCTATGCATTGGCTAAACAAGGTACTTAAAAATTCTTGAGTTTGATAAAATAAGCAACCTCTTTCAATGTCCTTACTCAAGAACAGGCACTTGTTTTAAAAAATTATGCTGTTTTTAATCACTCGTAATTCCAGAAATATAACAACATAGCACTGGCTGCAAGAGTATCAGCAGGAGCATTGAAGCTTCAGAGGATTTTCTGTGACCTAGTTAAACAATGCAGAGTTTTCTGGTATTTCAAATCGCAACACACTGTGATTGCTGTGTGTTCCCCAAACTATATACTATATACTTTCCAATTCGTATGTGTGGTAAAGGGAATGTGGAAGCTATGTGTCCAAAATATATGCTGTGTAAGATGATAGCATGGGACGGTCTCTAACTGTGATTCATGTATTTTGCTCACGTAATTCAGGATAGATCTTTCTAGTTCTGAAATCTTTACTTCTGTACTACCATTTATAATGATTATATTTAGAACCAGGGTCATAACTTTGTCTGCAAATACTAGTGTGAAAAAATATTATGTATCCAAATTCTGTTGCCAAATACGCACGAGTAGCATTTTTCTCATAGTCTAGTTAACTATTAATCATCATTTGCCCTTTCCTATGGCCTTTTGGTATGTATTTTAGGAAATAAGAATGCTAATCAGTCCAAACTCGGATGGGCTATGAAAGTTTGCACTTTATAATATGAATTTAAAACAGAAGTTACCAGTGTTGAGTCAAGAACTCAAGATCAAATTGATGAAACACACCTTTCACCCTATGATGGAAAACTCTACACCACCGAGGCATGTACATGGAAATGCCCTTTGGGGAACAGAAATGCTTTTGCAGCCCCTACACCTGACCCCATCTGTCTCTCACAAGCACCCTCTGAGAATTGCAGGATTGTTAGATAATAAATGCATTACTGTAAGTGGAATGGACTGAGCAGGTTTGAAGGAAGTTTAGATGAGCAACACACAAAAAATGGCAAAATGGACTAGCCACACTAAAGAGAAAAGACTGACCCTAGCGGAACACAAAGGACTCGGCCCAGAACCACAAGGAATGCAGCCCAAGAGCTCGCGAACACTTCCAACAGACCCTCTGCCAGCTTCCGCCTTCCAAACCACAAAACCCATTGTGTTCCAACTCTATCTGTTACGCTATTCAAGTACAACAGAGTATGTAGCAAAAAAATTATAAGTCAGAAAAATGGGATTCAAAACTAAGTAGGACCAATACTAAGTAGCTATGTAACTCTGAGAGAATAAATCAAAAGTAGCAGCTTTACACATTCCAAAGAGTTCAAATTTTAGAGTTACTGGAGAGGCATATGAGCGAAAAGATGTTTCCGGGAAAATGTCATGGGAAAAAATGTATTTGGGAGATGGGTCAGAGGTCCATGCCCATAGTCCCAGCACTCAGGAGGCTGAGGCAAGACGATTGCTACTAAGTCTCAACCAGCCTAGGCTAACGAGTTTAAAGCCATCTTGAAATACATAGTAAGATCCATCTCAAACAGAAAAGGTTTGGGCATCATTAAAGTGTACAGTACTGGGCCGGGGATACAGCTCAGCAGCACAGGTGCCTGCCTGGCAAGCACGAGGTTATGAGTTCGGTCCACGGTACCCAAAACAAAAGAATGGCAAAATGGAGTATTGGGGACATAAAAACGAAGTACTTCTACTTGTAAAACAAACCAGAAGTTGGGTGTGGTGGCACACTCCTGTAATTTCAGCACTCTGGAGGCTGAGGCTGAAGGATCACTGCCACTGTGGAGGGCAGCCTGGGCTAGATAGTGTAGTGAGTTCAAGGCCAGTTTGAACTACAGTTTGATCTGCAGAAGAACCAGGCATGGTGGCACACGCCTGCAATCCTAACACTTGGGAAACTGAGGCAGGAGGATCATTGAATCCAGCCTGAGCAACACAGTGAGTTCAAGACCAGTCTGTTTCAAAACCCTGTTTCAAAAAGCCACACAAACAAAACAAACCCTGCAGAATAAAATTATGCACATATTACTTCAATGCATTTTTGTAAACTATGTTTAATAAACAAGAAACAACTAAAAATGTGAAATAAAATATTAATATAACTATTTTAAAAAGAGGCTGATAAGAGAATGATACTAAGCAACAGGCCACATCTAATCAATTTGAAGGGCATTTATTTTTAAAATGTCACCTATGTACAACAAGGAGTCACAGTGAGGTCAAGAATCTACACGAAACCTCATTCCAACCCCAAGGCAGCAACACCACATTTCTGCCTGAGCTACGCCAAAGGGAAAAATGCTCCACTGACTTAGAGAATTATGAAGGAAATCAAATTCTCCCACCCCTTGTAAATCAGTTCCAGGATTTCCTCTAGAGGGTTATGCAACACAGGGCTTTGAGCCACATCTGGAGAAATGAACTCATCTTCTAAAGAAAAAATCTAAATTTCTATAATGAAATAATTTTATTCTACTTGTCTATGTGCTTATAAACACAGCACTCACCAGGTGCTAAAACCGCTGCCCAGATGGCTGGGTTGGTATACATTTTTGAATGATGCTAGGAAACTTTGTTTAGTATAAGTGATACATTATACACTAAGGTTATGATACTGTGTTATAATAGTAGCTAACCTTCCCACCCACTCCAGGCTAGCCACCATGTTTCAAAAACTTTACCCTACTGCCTGACTTACTCCTCAGCACAACCCTAGGGAGCACAGATTATTATGATTACTCTGTACATAGGGAATTAAGACAAAGAGAAGGTAAATGATTTATCAAAGACACACAAACATCTGAAATCATGTCCTTTTGGTATCAAAATTTGTGCCCTATCTGCTCTGCTATGGTTAATATTCTGACTCAGTACGTCAAAACAGCTAACAATCAATTCTAGTATCTCTGTAGTCTTTACTTACTACCAAGACAGGGGGAAAAGAAAAAAAAAAACACCTTAGAATGAGGAACTCTGTAAATGTAATCTACTATGTTTGAGGACCCATTACAAACTGGCCAATTATTTTCTGCATGTTAATTTACTCCTTTCATTAACCATTTGATCAACTGTATGTAGAACCAATAAGGCTTTAGATTGCATGATCTTTCAAAACGACAGGGCCAAAGTAAAAGAAATATTTCATTTGCTCCTGCCAATAAGTTCTCCATAGAAGCTTCTTACAGACAGCACCATCACTGTCTGTCCTAAGAGTTCAATAGTAGCCATCACACTGAAAGGGCCTGCTTTTGCTTATTTTAGCACATTAATTTATCCTTTTTTTTCCCACTGAAAATGGATGTGCGCAAGTGTTTTTTTTTTCTTTCCATAATATGGAAAGTGGCATAAGAATTTTTTAAAGAACATTCTATTTTCTTTCTTCTTTCCTCCTCCTCCTCTTCCTCCCCCCTTCTCCCCACCCTTGAAACAGGGTCTTGCTATGTAGTTCAGGCTGGCCTTGAATTCATTGTGCAGCCCAGGCTCAGTGATCCTCCTGTCTCAGCCTCCAAAAGCTGGGATTACAGGTTTGAACCACCACCCTCAGATTATGTATTTTATTTATTTATTCTTTTTTTTTTATCGGTACCAGGGATCAAACTCACGACCACACACTTGCAAAGCAGGCACTTATGCCGCTGAGCTAAATCCCCAGCCCCAGATTATGTATTTCTTTAGAAAGGTATGCTAGTTCTCTATAGTCCTTATTCAGTGTTTTGTTTTGTAATCTTTTTTGAAACAGGCTTTCACTATGTAGTTCAAACTGGCCTTGAATTCACTTTGTAGCCCTGGCAGTGATGTTCCTGCCTGAAACACCGCTAGGATTACAAGCATGCACCACCACACCCACCTTGATCTAGTGTATTTAAACTACCATTTAAACATAAAATCTCACATAACGCTAACTTGCGTTTTCTTTTCATACAGTATCTTGTTACAAAATGCAATTTTTCGCTGTAATAGCTATAACTCCAATACCAGTAAAGAACCAGACATTTTCAAATAGGATTATATACTTATTAGTATAATACTTATTAGTATATTTTTAATGTTACTGGGTACTGAAAATATTTATGCTTCAAGAAGCAAATTCCTTTATCATTTATCAAATACTGAAGAATCCATTTATCTACTACAATTTCATTCAACTAGCACAAATCTTAAGGACTTTTAAATTTTTATCCATTTACCTACTTTACTACAATTTTATTCAATTAGCACAAATCTTAAGGATTTTTAAAATTTCCAAGCAACATGAGTATCATTTCTGATTTATGGACCATTAACCACGAATGGCCTATATAAACCCAAATGGCTAATGTCAAAACATATGCATTATTAAAACTGAAAGCACTAAACTTCTTCAGATGTGCTACAAAGGAGTCATCTGAAATTAATTCTCGGTCCCTGTCTCCTTGCCCCTCCCACCGTTTCCAGGGATACTATTTCTGATGGGTCCCAGAGCTTGTGTGGTGCTATAATACCAGGGCTGTATTTATAGCACACTAATACTACCCTGTCCCTCACTGGGCTGGCATGAAAAACTATTGCTCTCTGATAGTGAAAGTTGGTGACCCTGTCCCTGGGGCTGGCACGTTCAACTGTCAGCCCTCTACCAAAGGACAACTCACGGCGAAGCTAGGAGTAAAAGCTGGGGATTTACTCGGGCCTCTTAGAGGCAGTGTTCTCTGCCCTGTCCCCCGGGCCTGAAACAAAGGCCCTACCATTTCCACAAAATGCCTCCCCAAATAAAGAAATAAAGAACTCTAGCTAGGCAATGTGCACACTCCACTTTCACAAAAGTGGGAAGGGGAGGCGAGGGGACAACAAAGCGCAGCCGCCGCCGCTTACCCAGACGGGACAGTCGTGGACCAGGAGCTGGACGTTCCCGAAAGCGCTGGCCTGGTACTCGGTGAACACCGGCCGCGCCACCGTGCCGGCCGCGTTCAGCAACAAGCTGCTCTCATCCCCGGAGACCAGGGGGCTTCGCCCCAAGTAGGTGCGGATGAGCCCCGACGGCCGCGGGTCCTGGTGGAACGCGTCCCCCTCGTTCCCCAGCGCCACGATGTGAATGGACCTGCGGGCACAGAGCGGGCGGGGCAGGGCGCGCGGTCAGGGCGCCGCCGCGGGGGACAGCGGCCCGCGCCCGGGCGCACCGGGGGGCCCGCGGCACCCGCCACGCGTACGTACATGGTGTCCACGCCGCGGGCAGGGCGGCGCCTCGGGGAGCAGCGGCTCCTCACGGCCTCCCGGGGCCCGCGGGCGGCGTGGGTGCCCGCAGTCCGCTCATCCCCGGCCGCGGCCGCGTCCCCGTCCGCCTGGCGCGCCTCCACCGCGGCGCGGCCGAGCAGCGCGGGACCCGGAGCCGGCGGAGCGCGCGGCCCGCCGTCACGGCGCGCGCGGGGACATCGCGGCCGCCCGGTGCCGGGCGCGCGGCAGCTCCCTCTGCGGCCCCGGCCCGCCGCGCCTCCCGAGCCGCCGCTCCTCCCTCCGGTGGGGCGGGGGCGCCGGGCTGGGCAGGGCCGGGCCGCCCGCCCACACGTGCTGCCCGGGACGCGGGGCCGAGCGGGGCACGCGCTCCTGCCCAGGCCCGGGAGCCCCGCGCGGCCGCCGGATACAAAGAGCCGCGGGCGAGAACGAGCAGCAGCGCCCGGCCGGGCGCGCGGCCCCCAGTCCGCCTGCGGCAAGTTTGTTCAACTCGGAGGCTGCGGAAACCCGAGCCAGACGGGGGTGGGGCGCCGGCCAGCTCACCCCGCGCGGGGACACAGGCCGGCGAGGCTGGGGACTGCAGCCCGGCCGCCCCGGAGGCCCGAGGGTCCCCCGCCCCGCCCGCCTCCGCTTGGCCTTGGGCGAAAGTGTTTCCACCGCGTCTGCCGCGTCGTCATTTGTCAACATGCGCTCCAGCTGTTGGCTAAAATCAAGCTCGAGGAAAAAAAATAAAGGCAACATTCAAGCTGCTGTAGAAAAGGGTCTTTGTTCACAAACCAATTAATTGACTAATGTCGCTGCTGGTGAATTATTTACTATTTCTATTTGGCATATTGTATCAAAACCTGCAAGTTTTTGGTTTTTTTAAGTGCTGGGATTTTTAGTGTGATCGTTTTGAAAGCAAGCTGTGCTAGTCTGCTAGATTTCTCGGCACATATTATGAGTAATATTAGTAGCTGGAAGACCAACTGAAAATAATGACCGTGTTCATGCGAGGATACCATATATATGTATGTCTTTTTGAGACCGTTTCACTGGGAAGTTCAGGCTGACCTTGAAAATCGTTTCTTGAATTCACTTTGGAGTCCAGGCTGACCTCAACTCCTAGCAATCCTCCTGCCTCTGCCTCCCAAGTACCGGAATTATAGGTGTGTGCCACCACACCCAACTAGATTGTTTCTTGGTGACACATTGAGTTTGTGCTTGTGGATGACTGCTAATGCCAGAGGGGGTGGGCCACACCTCGTTTCCTCCATGGACATTAGAATTCTTGCAAGTACTCTGTATGAAAAGAGTTCTTGTTTACTCGTTGTTTTGCCCTACTTAAAATTGTGCAGTTTCTTTTCTTAACAGAGCTATTCTGAGGGTGTGAAGCATCAGCTACTGAGAAGGGGTTGCAAAGACTACAGAGGTCTTTGGAATGTCAATTGCTTTTTATTCTGGGCCCTAATTGCTCAGTTGAAAATAGTCTCCTGCTCAGGTGGAAGTAGAAAGGAAGGCATTCTCTACATGGTCACTGACTTTTCAACAATTATATTTCCTTTTGCACTACCTGTAATTTTTTTTTAGTCCCTAGAAACTCAGCTGTCTTGAAAAATTCACGCATATGACATCATCTTTTCTCACAGGTCCAAAGTGATAAAAGTTATCAAACCCTACGCCAAGAATCAGAACACACACTGCAAGGTCCACACGAGGGGTTTTAATCAAAGGAAGCAGAATCGGTTGCTTTATCACAAAGTGAATATATTTTTAAAATTAGTCCCCTCTAAGATCCCACAGGTCAAACACTGAGACACAGAATGGGTGACTGAATAAAGAAAATGTGATATATAAATACCAGTAAACTTCTGTTTTGCTTGAGATAGGTTTTCACTAAGTTGCGCTGGCTGGTCCGAACCTCAAGGAGCTGTGTGCATCAGCCTTTAAAAATCAAGGAAATCTAGATATAGCCTACAGATGAACTTTAGAATATCATGCTAACTTCTGGTCCAAAAGAACAAGTCCACTTCCATGAGATACCTAAGCTAGTCAGACTGTTAGAAATTCAAAGTAGTACAGTGCTTACCAGGGCTTGGGGGTGGAGGAAAAGAGGGAGTTGTTCAATGGGCATAGAGTTTTACTTTTGCAAAAGGAAACAGCCGTCTGTTGCCCAACAAAATGCATATGCTTAACACTACCATACTGAATGCAAAACCATGGTGAAGGCACTATGTGTTTTATGTTATGCATTTCTTACCACATAAAATGTACAAGAACAAACAGATACCAGCTGCTGACAACTAGGAAGTTGCAAAAAGGGAAAAAGCATTCATTTCTTTCCCTCACTTCTCAGGCTAATGCATTCAGAAATAGTGTTTTGTACAAAGTAGAAGCATAACATTCAGATGGTGTTAAGGAGAATTTCCATGCTGTGTGCTGTCAAAAAAAAAGTTCATAGAAGAAGTGAACCTTGTCTTGAATCTTAAAAGATGAGGAAGAGTTCTGGAAGAAGAGGTCGGTGGAAGGAATATTTAAAAAGCATTGGACAAACACACAAATCGCATACAAAGGTGTGGTGTTGGGCATGATCATGGCTTGTTCAAAGAACAACAAGAGCCGAAGGGACTGCAGGAATGCAGACACCTGTAGTAAGCCAGGCAGAAAAGAGAAAACTGGAGGCTTCCCAAGATGTTGTCAAAGTCAAGTCAAACCCAAGGTATAGTTTGGGAATCCCTGGTGTAGACTAGACCACCTCCTCTCGAGTCCCCACAGGTGACAAAGCCTGCGTAGATGCTAACACTTACTCTTCCAAGAAAGCAAAACTACATTTCCTAAACTCTTTATCATCCATGGAAATATACCTTCTCTGAGTAATATACCTTCTCTGCTTGCTTTTATCCGCCTGTCAATCAGATGAAGCTATGTCAACCTTGAAGACATTATGTTTGACAACGCTGACCCTGCAATGTGCAGCCATTCCTGGGCGGCTGGTTACAGCAGAGCTTCCTCCCAACACTCACTGTACTGTGATATCAGTGAGAACTAGATCTTTAGTGCATTAAATGAGATGTTTTCAGGTCAATTATTATAGCAGCTGGTGTTACTTGTTTTGGCTAACAGACTATCACAGATAGTTCGTCTCCTGACATTTTAAGATACTTTTCATTTAAGATCACTTTTTAGTACTTTCCTTTTATTTTAAATTTTTATTTGGCTTATGTTTTTCTCAATTTTTCCTCACTGTGACAAAAAGACATGAAATAGTTTAAAGGAGGAAAGATTGATTTTGGCCCAAAGTTTCAGAGGTTTCAGCATTTAAGGTGAAGCAGAGGGGCCTGACATTCCAAAGCCTCTCACTTGGTAGCATCTGGGATGCAAAAGAAAAAAGGAAAATGTCAGAAGAAGAGTTCAGGGACCAGAGATAGCACTCCAAATCAAGCACTCCTGACCCTCTCCCTTCAACTAAATCCACTTCCTGTTTCTATCACCTCCCCAAAATGACGTCAAATTATGATCCCATGAACAGATTAACCCACTTGAAGTTAGGGGCCTCCATGATGCAGTTGCTTCTTCCAAAACCCATCAACTGTAAATAAGCCTTGGAGAATATTTCAAGTCCAAACCACAGCAGTTTATGTTTCTAATTTTCCCTATTGGCAGCATTTTAAAAACATTACTTTTACTAGAACAAATTGGAACATACTAGTTCATTATATAGCCTCAACCTCAAGGTCACTGGGGAAAACATAGGAAAGGCTTCCAGCCCAAACAATACTTTTTCCTTAAAGTTTTAGTGGCCACAATGCTGCCATTTCATATTCACTGTTAGATGTTTTTATCCCAGCGTGAGATGTGGTGTAGGATCAGGTGATGTAGCTCAATGCGCTATTGCTGGTCAGCACTTTTGAAAAGTGTGCTGGTTCCTTTATGGCTAAAGAGGAAGCAAATGCTGGTGATGGCAGCCCTGCAGAGGGAGGCCTAGCACAAAACGTTTCCAACTGTGTGTCATGGAAACCAGGTTTCTACAGGGGTATCTGCAAGTCTTGCTGAGGAGGCAGCAGAGAAAAATACCAAAGAAGTAGAGATCTGAATTCTGCTGTCCTCATCTTATTAAAGTTGACCAGGTCATCTTTATCAGAGCCAGCTTTTCTTTTAAATGTGAGTGTTTAGGTTCATTTAAACTAACAAGTTCCTAAGGTTAAAAACATGCAAAATTTTTAAGACTACTTATCTGTAGTAGTGGTGCCCAAAGTGGGACGTGAAAGGTCCCAGTGAAATTCCAAACTATTTAAGTTTCATTGCACAAGTGCATATTCTTCATCGAAGAGTAGGAAATCAAGCTGTACCAGCGCATAATGTGTGGATTGGCAGGCACAAGGTGTTCTTAGGCAAGGGCTGATCAGGTCTAGATCTAAAATGTGCCCCGAATGTCTCCTGTGTGTGGGAAGTGATGGATCATAAAGGGGTTATATTCATCTGTGCATTCATCCGTTGACAGTTCATAGCTGAATGTGCTGATAGGAAGTGGCACCAGCTTGCAGGTGGTTCGCTGGGGCCCTGGACTAGGTGTATTCTTGTCCTCAGCTCCTCTCTTCTCTCTCTGCTTCCTGGCTGCCATGGCTGAGGAGCTTTTTCTTGTCCTGCCCCTCTACCATCCTGTTCTAGCTGCTCAGGGGCTGAAATCAAGAGCCAAAAATAAACCCTCCACCTTTAAATTGTGAGTGTTGGGTGTTTTGTTCCAGTGAGGAGAAAGTGACTGAGATAAGATTAGGACAAGCAGTGCAGTGTGGGGCAGGGAAGGGCTGCCCCTTGTATACTTTCATCTTGTGGCCCGGGTTATAGCTTCTGTGGCTAGCGGAGAGGATTATGGATGATCCTTAAGTAAACCAACTCTTACAGCATGGGGCAATGGAGACTGTTAAAAACACAAGCATAGCACACACAAATGGCTAGACTGACATTTCTGATGTTGTAGGAGCCACATTAAGATTAGAAAAAAAAAAAAAAAAAAGAACAGTCAGATCTGAAAAGAAAGTGGTTACAATAATTGGACACTGTTTTGAGTATGAATAATTAACATTCACTTTTGCAGCCATCAACTACGCCCTCAGTGTATACTATAGTTAATAAGTAATGTTATCTTGAATC